TCATAGTGATCCTCCAGTCTCAGCTCCTCTAGCGCTGGGATTACAGGCGTGTGTCACTGTTATGGTTTGTGTCTAGTTGTCCCCCAAAGCCTCATGTAGTCATGGGGAGGACTTCTAGAGTTTGTATTAACTCATGATCCACTAGGGGTATGCGTGTGAGTGTTGCACCCAGCCTGGGGCGGATGCCTGAATGCAACATCAGGGAGACGGACTTGCTCTCTGCTGCCCTTGCTGCTCCTCCTCCATTTTGCTCTCTGCTCTTTGCCACCGCCATGAAAGGTTGCTCTCGGCCATATGCCTCTCTGCCTTGAAGTCAACTGAGTATGGACTGAAATCTCTATTGTGAGCTAAATAAACTTTTCCTTCCTTCATTTTGGGTGCCAGATATTTTGTCCCAGCAATGAGAGAAGAGTAACTTGAGACAGCCACCACACCTGGTTTCAGTGACTGGCATGGCATGTGGAACCAGGGATTGAACCTGGGTCCCTGTGCTTGCCAGGCAGGTGCTTAGACCACTGAGCTATCTCCCCAGCTTCTCATTTGGCTGTCCTTCACTGTTAGGGGCTGTGTTCAGACAATCTAGTAATCACAGATTATTTACAAGTAAGAGGACTAAAAACCCCAGCAGGGGTGAATCTTGTTGTCTGAAGAGGATGTTGGTGTAGCCATCCTGCCAAGGCAGCCCCACTGAAGCCTCAGGGCCAGCATTGCTAGGGCTTTTTGTTGCTGGGCAGATCCCTGTCAGTGGCTGTTTCCCTTTCTGTCCTGAGGAATAAGACATGGCTGGCAGTGTTCCGAGGACTCTGTGGGGAGGGCTTACTTCCAGTAAGTATCCATTCACTCAGTCTCCTCCCTCTTCACTCCTCTGCCCTCAGGGGGCCAGCGTCTCCCAGCCCATAGTTTGCTGTGGTAACTTCTTCAGAGTAACCAAAACAGTTGTTGGCCATTTGGAGTAGGTATGAGATGAAAATGTTCAATCACTTTTTGAATAGCTTTTGAACAGATCATACAGTGGATCCTTTGTACTTCACTGAAGTAGAAGATACCTGGTTTTTGCTTTTTTTTTTTTTTTTTTTTT